CGGTTCATCATTTTCTCTTATTATTTACAAAATATGCAAAACTTTACTCATATTAATACAAATAATTTAAATAATGTTTAAGGTAACAGAAGCAAAACACCTCGTTATAACTGAGATATAAAGTCAACTTCTCATTTTTAGTAATATAATCAATGTTTGTTTGAAAAGTTTCAATTTGATCTTGCGTCGCTTACGTCAAACGTTTTTGGGAAAGCATCATTATTTTTTTTTAATTTTCTAGAAAAGCAAAGCGCGAGTTGTTGTTAACGCGACTCTTGATTCTAAATATAACCTATAAGAGCGTTATTGGCAGAACAGTCATCTTTCGTAAAGTCGGCGCCTCATCAGAGTCATTAAAAACCAGAATGAAACTTATATTGATGGTAGATTGGAAGAAACATTTTGGAATTACTGAAACTTATATTGAGCTAAATTTGATTAAATCAATCTAAAAGTAAAACAATCCTTTCTTGATAATCGATTTAAAAAATAAAACTAATCTACTTTGCTATAGCGACGAATATATTGAAAAAAAAATCGAATATATATATCGTGCTACAAGTGAAATAAATCACGACGAAAAATAAAATAATTAACTTCTAAGATACAGTTACAAAACATGTAAATACCTTATTCATAAGGAATACATTCTGAAACCGTTTCGCTGAAATATCTTGGCATTGTTACTTACCATAATATATATAAAGACAGTTTTACAAATAATAAATATAAAAACTAACCATCCATAATCTTAAAGTTATCTTAATTCATTTCTCTGTACATCAATATTGATCGAAAACTTAAACATTTCAACGGTACTACTTAGCTGTGTACAACGTTATTGCCAAAACACATCGTTACAATAAATAACAAACTAATAAAAGTTGGTTGTTTGTTCAATTTCGCGCAAAGATAATATTGGGTTGTTTGCGATAGCCGTCAACTGGTAGACTAGAGGGAAGGTAGCTAATCAATACCACCCACCGCCAACCCTTAAGCTACTTATTACCATTTCACTTTCTCTATAGCGTGTAATTTTGGTGTTTCGATGTGTTACTTTTGACCTTTTAGACATAATATAGAAGACGCAGAGCCCATATTAAGGCGCTTGACTCGAAATCTGAGGGTCGCGGGTTCGAACACTCATCACCGAACATGCTTGCCCTTTCAGCCATGGGGGGTGTTATAATGTGACAGCCAATTCCACTATTCGTTGGTAAAAGAGTAGCCCAAGAGTTGTCGGTGAGTGATGTTAACTAGCTGCCTTCCTTCTATTCTATCTCTGCTAAATTAGAGACGGCTAGCGCAATTAGCTCTCGTGTAGCTTTACGCGAAATTCAAAACAACCAAAAGAAAAAAAGTAAGTCTATAAGCGATTTGGTAGCAAACTGCTACATGGGTATGGTATAAGCAGACAAGCTTTAGGAAATTGGTTCGTGAGAAGAGGAAATTCATTGTGTTGTTTACCCTTCAATTAAGTCGTCAACTGAACAGAAACGACTGATAAAGTCGTCACGTCTGTATGGTGAGGTTAATTTAAACATTGTCACGAAATGCGAATCCTGGGGCGTATTGGTTTCTGACCAGGAGGGGCTGGTGCACCTAAATGCACCCACAGACTGACTGCTATCAGTTTGCTAGAGTAACCTAAATTTTGGGAACCTATCATGTTAGCTCTAAGGTAAATGTTTTCGAATCGTCTCAAACGTAGGAAACCTATCAGATTAACTACACAATACATGTTTTCGAATCGTCTCAAACGTAGGGAACCTATCAGATTAACTACACAATACATGTTTTCGAATCGTCTCAAACGTAGGGAACCTATCAGATTAACTACACAATACATGTTTTCGAATCGTCTCAAATGTAGGAAACCTATCAGATTAACTACACAATACATGTTTTCGAATCGTCTCAAATGTAGGAAACCTATCAGATTAACTACACAATACATGTTTTCGAATCGTCTCAAACGTAGGGAACCTATCAGATTAACTACACAATACATGTTTTCGAATCGTTTGGTTTGAATTTTGCACATAGATACTCCAGGGCTATCAGCGTTAGCCGTCTCTAATTTAGGAGTCATAGACAAGAGGAAAGGCAGCTGGTCAAAACCACACACCGCCAACTCTTGGACTACTCTTTTACCAACGAATAGTGGGATTGGTCGTCACATTATAACGCCCCCGCGGCTGAAAGGGCGAGCATGTTCGGTAACGGGGATTCGAACCCGCGACTTGTAGATGGCGAGTCGAGCGCTCTAGCCACCGGACCAGGTCAGGCCACTCATATCCAAGAACCTATCAGATTAGCCATGAATCATCTAACAGATAGATAGAGAATCATTTGGTAGAATCATTGTAATAATATCTTATACATCGTATGTGATCAAACGAGTTTTGCCCATTGTTATTGAGTGTTTCAGAAATTAAAATTTTTAACAGCATTTTATGCAAATATGTATCATTAATGAGTAAAATTTGACGCTCTGACTTACACGATTTATTAGATTTTATCATAAAATGCCACTAAATAAACACATACATCTATATCGTTAACGAATACTTGACATAATGAAATAGTATTGTGGCTTTTTTTTTCTTTACTAATACACAGTCCTGAAAAGAATACGAGGATATATATCTATGTATCTATAATATCAAGTAGTTTTTAAAAGATTAAATTTCTGATTTTTCTATTAAAACTATGAGTTACTGAATTATTATTAATGTAATTACACGATTCTTCAATAGCCTCAGTCACACCTCAATTGTATAATGTAGTCTTCTCCACTTTTATTACTTTCACAGACGTCTGACTTCCTAAATGTTCTTTTTATGGCAACAACACCTATTTTCTTTTTTTATTACCAGTAATCTAATAACGACATCTTCATCATGATGTTCTATAAAAGACAAATCATTTTGTGTAGAAACTATATAGGATTAGTTCTGAGAGGATTTTATCTTTCCTTGACGAAAATAATTTATATAACATGGTATATTGTATCTAACCTAGCTATACTTTTTAAAGCTATAGCACAAACAGAAAACGCATTTTTCCAATCACAATGTCCGGCGATCTTCTTACTATGCGTACCACGTCCAATTACTTTATAAGTCAATTCAGGTCATTTATTTAGAAAGAGTATGAAATGGTCAAATACTTCGAATATTGAAATTGAGCCCTATGAAAACCTAAACTCAAGACCCTAGTAATTACCACGTTAAACAGAAATATAAGGTTCTAACTCAAGACCCTAGTAATTACCACGTTAAACAGAAATATAAGGTTCTAACTCAAGACCCTAGTAATTACCACGTTAAAGAGTAATATAAGGTTCTAACTTAACAAAAAAATAGAATAATTATTATTAAGAAGGGGGGACAGATTTTTATTGATGAAACGCTCTTGAATTTTTCTTTCTATTTGCATTTATGACAAAGCTATTAAAATTATCTGCCGTCGTCCCTAAATTTGAGCTACGGCCAGAAGGAAGGCAGCCATACCCTAACATCCATTTTCACGCTAAAGGACTAATTGTCACTCTTATAACACACCCACAGCTTAAAGTTGGGATGGAATATTCTGTAGTATCGCACGGATTCGAACCTATATTCGAGAGCTCTACCACAGGGCCAACCTGCACTAGGTTTTTTAAAGGTTAAAATGAGGGGGGGAAGCAAAAACAGGTTATTTTGGCGGCATTTGTCTAATTATTCCATGTATACTTTAATAACCATTCAAATAGCAGAAAATACCCATTCTATATGCTATGTATTATTTTTTCCAAAATAAAATAATGACATTAAGCATGAGCGGGGCACCCCTTCCCTCCTCCCTAATCTATTTAAATAGCGCCCCAAATACTTACACTGACAGAAAATGTACTTATAATCTTTAGTTTGGGCATTTCTTGCCTCCCGTCCTCCCAAAGTTACGAGAATTATGCTTCATCCGCGGGCATGAATTTGAATGGAAACAACTTCTTCTGAAATATTTAATTTCTCGGGTCAATTATGATGCAATTATTTATCACGTTTGACTTATCGATTTACATCAATGATCATGAGTCAACGTTAAGAGCGCGAATATTGCATCTATTTCTAGAAAGAACTGGTGAACAAGTTACGAACATAAAAATATGGATGGGAGATGGAAAGTATGCGAATTTGGATCAACATATGACCTTGGCCTCAAAATCCGTTTGACCTGTTAACAAAGTTTATTTGTAAATAATAAGTAATATTACACTTGTTACTACATAATAGTAACCAGTTATTATTTCCTTCTTTTTTTGACCACTGCAAACGTATAATTCCACTACTAAACATAAACAGCTTAGTCTTAATCCCTGCCGTAAAGTTAGTTAACACTAACCAGTTATTATTTCCCTTCTTTTATTGACCCCTAAAAACGTATAATTCCGTCACTAAACATAAACAACTTAAGTTTAATTCCTGCCGTAAAGTTAGTTAACACTAACCAGTTATTATTTCCCTTCTTTTATTGACCCCTAAAAACGTATAATTCCATCACTAAACATAAACAACTTAAGTTTAATTCCTGTCGCAAATTAGTTAAAAAGTTAAACGTAGTCGCTGAAACGAAGGGTAATAAAATTGATTGTTAATCCTATTTGATAACAAAAGCCATTCACTCTGTACTGTAATAAGCTAATTTCGGACACTGGGATTATTTTCGTATACCAAATCTGGACTTACGTTAAGGATTATCTCAGTTTTCTTTGTTGAATTATGCCCCCAACAAGTAACAATGCAGCAAGTGGCATAAGCCACTTAAATAGTGCCATGTTTGAACGTAGCTTTATTATGGAAAGAAAAGCGCATTTGTCTTTTATGCAAAGCAGTAATACGCTAAGCGACAATGGTGATGAGAAGCTATATAGGAATTCGGTGTAATCGTCACAGAAGTATGGGTAAAGAACAATGATACTGATACCGTCGTGGCGTTACCTTGATATACAGCCTTACCTGATGATAGAATGGACCGGCTGGCAACAGTTTTATCCGTAGTAGGAGACAAGATGGCGTTGACACCAAACTTCAGCTGCTGGGAGTCATTCCTCTTGTTTTCTGAAGAAAGACTCTCAAACTGTTTCATAGACGTTAAGGAGTCAGTGCCGATGGTCGAACACGTGGTATAACCCGTACACGCTGAGCACGAGATGTCCGCACTCCCTCCCGTGCACGGAGAGAGCGGTACGGGACGAGCAAGGAATGGTCCGTGGTGACCTGCAGCAGCCGCTGCAGCAACTACGGCTCGGTCCCGCAAAAGGTTTTCAACCAAAAAGGAATTGTTCGAAGGAGGGGTCCCAGACGGAGAAAACGAAGACGGCTGCTGTACGGATGCTGGAAGGGACACTGCGGCGATCGGACACCGTAATAACGTAGGATAAACCGGTTGAGCTAAGACATTCGGATACATGTCGCTTTTATTTAGGACATTCAGATCCACATTTACAACATTATAACCTCGTGAAGTCTTTATTTGGTTCTTTCTCAAACACTCAAAAAGTGTTCTACTTATCCTGACCTGATTACTGATCTGTCAGCGCTAACGCTACTCTGTGGGTTTCTCGTTCCTTCGCCATGAATTATACAAAAGCCCGAGCTGGCTTCGAAATGATTTTGTAATGCGCGCACTGCGACACATGAGCACCCAATAAACTAGGTAGGCCGGCTTATAAGGCCGTCACATGAATGCATGGTCGGTTTGAGAACGATACACTGATTGGTTAAAATCGTCTATGGCTCGTGCCGATTATGTACTGGAAACCCGCCTCTTTGATGTTGAAAGGCGGATGTGTGAGATCTCGTATCGGAGTGGGGAGTGTGTTACTGACAGCACTGATATATGAGAAACAACTGAGAGAGCTCACAGCTCAGGTTAAGAATGGCTTTTTTTATGAAGCTAAGCTGAAAGAAGCTAAATAGCACTGAAAGATCTATTCTTTGCTTGTAGTACTGTCGTCAACGGCAATTTAAATGAAACCTTTAATAAAGAATGTAATTTTTAGCTCTCTCTTAAGAAAACAGAGGACACGAGATCTTTGACGCTTCAAGATTCCTTTGTCTACAATGTCAAAGAACGAGAAGTGACGTCATTCAACTGTGTTTCGGCTCTTAAGAAACTGTTACGTGATTTGATTGGAAACTTTCTAAAGAACAATGATGTAAAAAACAACAACGACTTTCTAACTCAAATATTGCTTAGAGCGTATGTCATCATTATGTTTAGATACTAGCATTTACACACCAGGTGTCTTACTCTGTTCTAAATCTTTTGATTTGTATCTTTTCTCGACGTCCACGTTACTCAATCGGTTCTCCAATATACTAGAAATATTTTTGCACCAAAAATAGATTATTTTATGCGTAAAAAAGTGCGACACAAATATCGTTCTTTCAACGCTATCAGGGTCATCTTAATGCCACTCCAGTGCCAACTTAACCACCTATGCATTGTAATAATTTTGTGTTGTTCACTGATAAATAGTTTTTACAAATATACAAAGTTTTGTTGCTCTTCTTTTTTTCATTTACAAGATTTAAGAAAAATAACACATTAAATACAGAGGTTGAGTACGTTATATTAAAACGATTTTGAAGCTTTACTGTGTCGTTACAGTCAATGTCATCACATCTGGTCATGTTCTATCTGACGACCGTGCGTCTTGACAATAGTTCTGCAGCGTAGGTTTGGTTATAAAAGTATTCGTTGTAAGGATGTCTTGTCAAAAGCATGACTGCATGATTAAGAATAGTCTATTATATAACTTATCGATTACACAGTTATGAGACAGTTATCGGTTACACAGTTATTATGTTTATATGGCGATTAGACAGAAATATATATATATACATTTTAAGCATAGCGTAACTTTACAGTTATTAGCTTTGAAATTTAATTCAAACAAAGTGTATTCCTACTGGAAAACAGATTTTTTTAAATCTACAAAATACTTAATCTGAGAAAAACTTTACAAAGATTTTTAATTGACATAAATCATACATATAAAAATTTGTTTAAAAATACATTTTGCATTAAAAATCATTTCATTATTGAATATCATTGTCACTACGGGTTTCCTTTTGTGAGATTCCTGAGCACAAATTTTAATTTCACTTGAAAAATACTTTGCCTCAGTAATATTAGTAAGAAATAACTTAGCTCTTTCGACGGACTGACATGGATTCATTCTAGCAATAAGAGTTAACTCCAGTTAATAAATACTCTGAATTACTTTATCATATTCAGAAAAACCAGAAAACACTTTCGACAGGACGGCGTGTCTTCACTGAGCTACAAGAATTAACTCCAAAAATAATTTGGGTTAGTACAGCATGATAGGAGACAGAGAGTTTTTGATATTTCAGTGTAGAATCCGGAATGTTTAATAACAGTCAGAGGTTTTCGATCTCATGAAGAAACGGGATTAAAACCTTCAAAGTGATGGAATTATTGTATTTATTTTCAAAATGAAATTAATGCAAAAATAGTATATTATGTCTGATTCTGTTTCAGAAAGTCTGCTATACACTCACTCGCTCATTATACCAGTCATGTTAATGAAGTTATTTCGATAACTCTAGTCATTTCTAAAGAGTTTTGAGTGTTTTGATTATTGATTGTTTGATCTTGTGTTTTTAACATTTTTCAGGGATAAATGGACTAATGACTTGTTAGTTGGATTAATGGACGAAAACAGATTGTAACCAGTCTATGTCAACTGAAGAAATTTGCAACTTGATAAGTATAAAAAAGAAGGCTTAACAGTTTGTTTTAAACTGCTTTACACCTCACAAGTACAAAGAATCCCATTTAAAATTATTAATCCTTCCATAGTCAAGTGAGACACATTTTCAGTGTCATTATGGTGTCAAACGCTTTTGTTGGTGGAGCCTCTTTAGGCCGAATAAATTAGAATAAAATCTAAAATTTGAATTGAGCTGTTGCTTTGTTTGTTTTTTGCATTTTTTTGTGATATAATTCTTAATTAATCCATTACAGAATTAAAACCAAAAGTAGTCAAAAATGGCAATTCTGATTTTTTTATGGTTTCCTCCGATAGGTTTAGTTGATGGATTTCAACATATAACTGTATACAACATTACGTTTGTGACATACATACCAATAGTAATTAGCGCGTATATCTTTTCTCATATATTATTGTTTTTGTTTGTTTGTTTTTGAATTTCGCGCAAAGCTACACGAGGGCTATCTGCGCTAGCCGTCCCTAATTTAGCAGTGTAAGACTAGAGGGAAGGCAGCTAGTCATCACCACCCACCGCCAACTCTTGGGCTACTCTTTTACCAACGAATAGTGGGATTGACCGTCACATTATAACGCCCCCACGGCTGAAAGGGCGAGCATGTTTGGTGTGACGGGGATTCGAACCCGCGACCCTCAGATTATGAGTCGAGTGCCCTAACGACCTGGCCATGCCGGGCTCTCATATATTAATCATTAAATCTAATCTCCAGGAGAAATTACTCAGAATTCGTGTACCTCCCCCCAGTGGCACAGCGGAATATCTGTGTACTTACAACGCTAGAAATCGGGTTTTGATACACATGGTGGCCAGAGCACAGATAGCCCATTGTGTAGCTTTGTGCATAACTACAAACAAACCCTCTTATCATAACGTTCTTAACTCTCAATGATTTTGACTAGAAATGTACTTTAAAAATACAGGTAGTTTCAAATGTCAAAATAATTGTCGTTTTTTATTAGTTAATATACGTTTGTTTCAATAAAATATCGGATTTTGACTTTTAACATTTAGCTGCGTTACACAATCCATACCAGCATAATATCAGCTTTATCCCTTGGGTGTCTGACCACATAAATGACCTTACGAAACTAAGACGATCATCATCTGGATTCAAAAATATATATATTTATTTATTCTTAAACATAGAACGTAAATTAGATATTAATCAGAGAACAAGAACGGTAACACAGTATGACACAAATGATCGCGATTATATAACATCTGACATGATTTATCCTCTATCAAAGTTTGTAAAACTATAGAGTGAAAATTAGTAAGTCTGTTTCTTTTTTTTATTTATTTCTTATCAAGCTCAGGATAGAGTATACAGGTAGCTCTTTTACCACGCTAACGTAGCCACGAAGATAATCTTTCAAACTGTACTCGAGACCTTCAGAAATGAAGATGTTGCAGTGACGGCTCTTTCTCCTGAGCACGTGCATGCTGGGGGTAGTAATCCATTCAAATGACCTCTCCATCCTGACTAATGAAAGCAGAAAGTTACTGTCAGTTATAATTGCTAAATCTACACCTTGTGGTAGCATGTAGTTAGTAAAAAGCATTTGAACTCAACCAAATCAATAATTTTGTATTTCAAATAGTAAAATTTAAGTAGACGGGTAGATTTTTTTTTTACTGGAATGTTAAGGTTGATTTCTAAGGGAAGTAAGTGATAACGTTTTTTTGCGTCAAAAACCACTTATCATTAATTAGTTTCAGAAACAATCATCTAACACTAATATAACAATTCACAGGACCTGGTTTCGTATCCCGTTCTTTCTAAACTCAAACATGTTAGAACAACAATTAAAGAAGGCGTACTAATATTAACAAGCAACAACAGGATTAGCGTAAAATGTTGTTGTTTTTTTATATTTATATTACGCTCTAGAAATGAGTTTAAGCCTTTTAATTCGCAATAAGACGTTGCTTACATTAAACTTCAACAGTAATAAAGAAGCCGGTTATAAATGTGCAAATAAAATGGGCATTTAAATCGTTTGAATATTTAACGACAATTCGAACATTTAAACCTACTCAATCTTTAATAAGACTTCGATCAATTAAACCCGTTAAATATTCAACAAGAATTCGAGCATTTAAACCTGTTAAATATTTAACGAGGATTCGAACATATAAACTTGTTAAGTATTTAACGAGATTTTGAGCATTTAAACCTGTTAAATATTTAACGAGAACTCGAGTATTTAAACATGTTAAATATTAACGAGAATTCGAGCATTTAAACTTGCTGAATATTAAACGAGAATTCGAGCATTTAAACTTGCTGTATATTTAACAAGAATTCGAGTATATAAAGCTGTTCCAAATTTAACCAGATTTTCGCGCGTATTCAAACATATTTTTCAAAAATGAGTTCTCTATAAATCGTCAGGATCTACATTTAGTTGAAAATTTGTTTTTAATAACAGACGTATTTATAATCTCGTATAACAGTATACTAGCATACAGAAAAAAAAAGACAAGAAAAAGTACCGTTGTAAGTATTGGACTCTATTGAATTTACTCTGGAATGCAGATATGTACGTTATAAACACTGGTTCTTTCAGAATACCATTGACTCAATTGTCATGCCAAAATTCCAAAGATTTGGTTTTAAAGTGTTTTTAGATTCCTTTTGATCTCTGAGCTATTATTGAATCTATAGTTTTGTTTTTTCGTTTAAAGAGGCCGTCTTTAAGTCACCGCTGAGGCCAAACTATTGTTTGGCCGTTGCTACGCTTTACCCTGATTGTATGAG